GTCATGAAGAGAGGCTCACGCTTGTAATCCTAGCACTCTGAGAAGCTAAGGCAGTTAAATCACCTGAGCTCAGGAGTCAGAGACCAGCCTGATCAAGAATGAGACTCTGGCAGTGCCTGTGGCTCAAAGGAGTAGGGCACTGGCCCTAAATGCCAGAAGTGGTGGGTTCAAACCCAGCCCTGGACAAAAACTGAAAAAAAAAAAAAAAAAAAAAAAAAAGAGAATGACACTCTGTCTCTAGTACAAATAGAAAAAAAATCTAGCTGGACATCATGGCTGATGCCTATAGTCCCAGCTCCTCAGAAGGCTGATGCAAGAGGATCCGTTGAGCCCAAGAGTTTGAGTTTGCTGTGAGCTATGACACCCTAGCACTCAACGCAGGGTGACAGTGAAACTCTGTCTTAAAATAAATAAATAAATAAAATCATGAAGAACTTGAATAATAAGGCATTTTAAAAATATAGTATTGGCTGGGCACAGGGGCTCATCCTATAATCCTAGCATTCTGTGAGGCCAAGTCATAAGGATCCCTTGAATTCAGGAGTTGGTCAGCCTAAGCAAGTGTGAGATCCTGTCTACACTAAAAATAAAAAAATTAGCTAGGTATGGTGGTAAGTGCCTATAGTCCCATCTACTTCAGAGGCTGAGGCAGAAGGATTACTTGAACCAAAGAGTTTGAGATTGCTGTGAGCTAAGCTAATGGCACAGCACTCTATCCTGGAGCAACAGAGACTGTCTCAGGAAGAAAAAAGAAAGGAAGGAAGGAAATAAAAAAAAGAAGTCTTAAAATCTTTAAATTTCAGTTATGATTTGCAGACCATGTATGATGTAAGACTGAGAGGTGGGGTTATCAGTATACATCCTGAAGAGAGCAATAATAGCCAAAAGTCAAATAGGATGGAAAATCCAGGAAGTATACCATACCTAAGTGACGAGAGGTTTTATTTATGTCATTATGTCTTTTGACATAATGGGGAATTTTTCTTGAAAAATGTGTTTGGATTTTATGGGCTAAATAATATGTTTTAAATGAGGTTTACATGGTTTTTATATATACCTTGTATTTTTTCCAAGAGGATTTTAAAAAGCTTATGGTTTTACAGAAAGTATAAGATACCATGAATTAAATGTAGAAAAAATGTATAGACATAAAAATAAACCCAAGAATGGAGCTTATTTAAAACTTGAATTTAGGGGGCAGTGCCTGCAGCTCATTGGGTAGGGTGCCGGCTCCATATACTGAGGGTGGCAGGTTCAAACCCAGTCCCAGCCAAACTGCAACAAAAAATAGCTGGGTGTTGTGGTGGGCACCTGTAGTTCCAGCTACTTGGGAGGTTGAGGCAGAAGAATCACCTAAGCCCAGGAGTTGGAGGTTGCTGTGAGCTGAGCTGTAATGCCACGGTATTCTACCAAGGGCAATAAAGTGAGACTCTGTCTCTTAAAA